GCCCATTCCATGATGTGGTCGTGTGTTGTGAAGAGAAAACTCGTCATGTTGAGACTCTCTGCTCCTGTGGAATGCTGGTCGGTATCCTGTGGCTGAGTAGACGATGCGGACTGTGGATTGACTACGGCTTCGATCAACACATTGACGGACTCACTGTCTAGCTCAGTGGCCAGTAAGCGCCAAAACTGGTTGAGGCTGCCTGTGAATGCTCCAAGGCGCTGCACAAGAGGCTGCAGATTGCTTTGACTAAAAACGGTATGCGCATCATTGTGGTCAGGTCTTGGTTGCTGCGAAGCTCCGCTAGCAATTTGGCTCCATCGTCTGCCGACAGAACATTGCAAATGTACTGCTTCAAACTCCCCTTCTCGAAGCCCAGCAGCTCCAGACGACGATGGAAGACAATCTCGCTGCTTTGTGTCAGCTGCATTGCTTCTGCTGAAAGGTGTGACGTGAGGATCAGGTTGATTCCGGGCAATTCTTTGCCCTGGATGACGTCGATCATGAACTTGCTGCAGTCGGCGAGCTTTATCTCGAGAATGATGCAGACAGACTCAGGATGATTGCAAACAAAATCAATGACTTCAGCCTGCTCACTTAGTTTTATGATGCCGTAATTTTGCAAATCCAGCAGCTCAGCGATGCTTGTGATATTGCGCACTTCTGCCAAGCGCAGCTCCTGTGCACGCAGGACAGCGATGTGGGCCAGATACGCCCTCTTGCCCATTCATACGGACCCTTCTTGGTGAAGAGCATAGTTTTGCCTGCTCCAGCCGATTAGAATGCAATGGTACGGAAAGTCTTCCCGTACATGCGTTTTCGCATGGCTTTCTTGACAGTGAGGATTTCGACAAGTTTCATCTTGCGCAGCTTCCTAGCTTCAGACGCAAATGAATGAGCCAGCTGCTCATTCCTCGCAGTTGTGCCAAGTATCGCTGATTGACGCATCCTAGTGTTTAACTTCTGCTTGGACACCACATGTAGATCAGCATAAAGCTCGTCCATTTGCAAGATTCGTTCTTTTTCCGCATCAGACTCCTGTATGCAGAACTGCACATTGCTGTAAGCAGTACATTGCTGTAAGCAGCACACAGACGGTCACGATATTTCTTCACTCCAGTAGGAAGTGAACTTGCTCTTGCCCCCATGCTGCAGATCCACAGCCGGAAAAGCAGTAGCTATACTAGAACAGGCACTGGTTACCAGTAGAGCAAGCTAGAGAGATCAGCTACACGTAGCTGTAGCCACACTGCATAATTAGTTACTGTTTGGAGATTTTCTCTTGAACCTGTGTGCTGTGTGTTACAGTATGGACATGTAGCTGCACAAGTCATTCATACCTACCTGTACAATTCGCTATACAGACTCTGGCAAACAGCAGTAGCTAATATTCTACTGTATGAGTACAATGACTGTACTAGTATGTGAGAATTGTAGTTTGATATCTGTGGCTAAATGTAGCGGGTCTCCTTCACAAAAACAATCTACATGTTGTAGTTATGTGTGAAAATTTTGTACGTGTCAATGCATAGCACAATTCTATTGAGAGCTGCAACCGCATGCTGCTGCTGCTGACTTTAAAAGTCGGATACATGGACAAGTGCTCGTACTTAAAGCACTTGTGCTTGTTCACATTATACTGCACGCATGCACAATATCAGTCGCAGCAGCAGGAAACATAGTCCCCTTCTGTTTGCAAGCTGCAGGATGTGTACGTGTCCGAAACTCGCCTGTGTCTCAGTCATAATCATACAGCATATCACTCCACTCACTACTCGGAGTGAGGGTAACAAGGATGCAGCTATCGAGGTTAGCCCCCTTTTCGGACATTGGTTGTGAGACTTACCACCTCACCCTCGCCGTTAGGCGCTGCATCTGCCAACCTGGTATCACAGGCATGGTGGTGGCCGGGCACATGCGAAAATTCCTAAGCTGGTTGTGTTTCTCAACCCAACTGTATAGCCCGTTGTAACGCGGACGTGCAAACTTTACTTTTTTTTATATCAACCCGCTGGTCACTGGTCACTGGACGTGAATACAGCAGAGAATGGATTTCTTCATCAGGGACCACTTATCTTTGTGATGCGGATTTGGTCTCTGCACCTTACACTGCAGTTTGTGATTTGCCGATCTGGTCTGCACTTTTCACTGCAGACAGTGCACGGCTTGATCATTGACTTGAGAGTGTGCACAACTGAACATTTCCCAGATCTTCAGTGAATGATCCGAGAAGTGCCAGTGCGTGTCATCCTGACTGTGTGTGTGTGTGAGCAGTGTGGTCACAGTACTCTCAGTGCTCAGTACTAGTAGTAGTATACTCCACTAGTGCACTTAGTGACTGTGACGCAGAACTTTAGTTGCGAAACCACAAAAGTGTGATACAGAATGCCAAAACCAAGCGGAATGCAATAATGTACCAAATCGAGTATATAAAAGAACTGAGTCCGAGTTACATTATAAAAGAACCGAAAACAATTGTAGCATGCCAACCAGCTATTATTAAAAGTCATTTTCCAACCCACAACCAGACACAGGGTATTATTAGAATCAGCATACTACTAAAGCTGACCAGCCTACAAACCATCAAGGCGGCACTGGTCTTAAAAGGTGGAACGTGATCCGCGGCGCAGGTAAGATGCTCGGCAGCCCCGAAAACACGTAACAAACCACTTCAGCTTCCAGCGTAATTACAAGGGAATAAAAGAAAAAAATCAATCATGACCACAGAAAATGAATGATGATGTCATAGTCCCCTAACGTTTCCTCGTAAACGGAGCGAACTTCAATTATGGACTCAGATGGAGAGCCAAGGTTTAATTTATACAAAAGAGAAAAAAGACCAAGGAACTACAAGTTACGCTATACTGTCCACTAACACCACCAGTTACTAAACAATCAGATCATGTGATAACATTGCACGACACTGATCGACGGTATTGACTGTACCGTCGATCAGTGTCGTGCAATGTTATCACATGATCTGATTGTTTAGTAACTGGTGGTGTTAGTGGACAGTTTAGCGTAACTTGTAGTTCCTTGGTCTTTCTCTTTTGTATAAACATCAAATATATATTATTATGTATTAGTCAAGTGGTGTGCTTCACTGTCCGAAGAGTGCTCAATGCCCATGTAGGGCAGAGCCTTGTACACAAGAGAGAGTTTGGAAGCTTTGTCACAACTCCGAGTTTCACGTATCTCTACGATCATCAGGCAACTGATGGATCCAAAACGGGCAGCCAGAACATAAGGGGGAGCAAGGTGGGAAATTTCGAGGGGTGTCATGGGCGACGCGTATCATAGCGCAAGAGTCAGGTCACAGGTGCAGGCGTGAAGTTGCCAAATCTTCAGACTTGGGGCTATGCAGCAGTAGTTCCTGCATGAATGATATAGAATAGAGCTGGGGACAAATGCCAAATCCACACATGCCCACACCACCACACAAACATACACCCACACTCTCTCCCTTTTCTCACATACACATACACTCACACGCGCGTCCGCACACACATTCTCTAAATCTCTCTCTGACACACACACACACATTCATTCTCTATATCTCACACATGCACACACACGCACACACATTCATATTATATGTATTATGTATTATTATTATTATTCGCACGTCCGCCTTTACGTCAACAGTAAGTCCACGTATTCGCATGTGCCAGAAGACAGGCAGAGTGAGCAGAGAGGAAAACAAAAAATAAAAGTAAAAAAATAAATGTAAGACACATAACTCATGTTCGATGATAGGTGCTCAATGCACTATCTATTCGAAAGATCAAAAAATAAAACAAGAATAACAGACAACAACGATAGGTTTGTAACTCATGGTCGATGGTAAGTGCTAAATGCACGTGATATGTACAATGCCTCTGTCCCATCCATTAGTTACTGCGTACATCCTGGCACAGCTCGCGTCACGCAAGCCTATGTAACGTTTAAAAAATGAACGCGGGTACCTTTTGTGTTGAAACCTTCATGAATTCCAGAAAGTGATTGAAAGGGTGTTGCTCTTTTATGGAATGTAAAATACAATTTGCGTGCATTGTGGAAAAGCCAGTGGCGACTCGACATATTTATACCAGATGTACCTGTCATGAAGTGAACATTGTTCGATCTTTAGCAGGGTTTTAATATTTATTGTAAAAGATGAAAGTACAAGCTAGGAATTTATAGTTTTAAGAGGAACATTCAATGCTTCGCTATCTTTGGAGTGTTTTCATACGTGCATTCGTCTTGATGAGCATTCGCCTTGGCTTGTTCTGTCGAACTTCCGAACGCGGGAGTTACATTGTTGACAGGAACCTGAGAAGGATCCAATACGTCGTATGGTAGCATCGGCAGGACTGGAACGGGCTCTGTTACCTCCCTGAAAGTGTTATATGTGTGGTCATTAGCAGCAGTTGGCTCCATCTGGTAGGAAGAGTAGAGCAACCAAATGAAAGTACCATGCAAGATTGAGGCAGTTACTTTCCAGAGGCCTATACCCTGAGACACTGAATAACATTCATTGTCTCAAATACTAGCTAAATTATACTCCAGGAGTAAGGGTGGAAACAAGATAGTACGCATGTGATGTAGCATGCTCTGCGAGGTTTGAACTCCAGCACTTGTGAATGATTCAAGGTCCATACAACGGCATTAGATCTGCCGTGATCTGGTTATGCGACCGTATAATATTTCAAAACTAGTCGTTCGTGATGCTGGAGTCCATTCGAAACCGGGCAGATAAAAGGATGGTCAGGTCATCTCCTCAACGAAGATGCTACCGAAGAACGTCAAGTAACAAGAGAGAGAGAGAGGGAGAGAGAGAGAGAGAGAGATAATCGAGACAACAAGCGCGTTTATCCACCCAAGGTGATTGTGACTTTGCGGAAGAATATGCGTCAGACGGAGGGTAGGATCGAGAGAGCAGAGAATTTATCTCCTCTTATCATTTTCATTTTGACAGCTTCTAAATGCCATAACGCAAATTCAGAATAAAGTTTTACCTTGGCAAGTATCACTTCGTTGTCGTAGATAGACTCTCCTGTATTTGCTGGAGTGGTCCGGTGCTTCCCAGCTCCGCCAACAAACTTGACGTTATCGTACTGATCCGGATTGAATCCTGGTCATATGCAGTCTTCTGGTGTGCGTTCTCGTATGCACCATCTTCAATACTTGGGCGAGGTTCACCTGCCAGGCAATACACCTGCAGGGGTATTTGGCTGTCATCTGCGCTCTCATCTTTGGTTCGAATCTTTCTTTTGTCCATTGAAGCAGCAGCGGAAGTCACTGCCGCCGTCTGATTAATAGGCCGTAGTGGATGAATGTAGGACACACTTTCATACGTAAACATCTTGTCTACTGATTCAAGGTGGCTGTGTTCAGCAGCAGCTTGAAGTCCCGTGGCCTGCGCAAGTTCAATGCATCAAAGAGAAAAATGAATTGGAGAACAGCGATAAACACCAAAATGAGATTTTCAAACATCCTGACAGAAAGGCGGAATCTTACTAAGCACAGAAACGTATCACTACAAGAATAGTATGGCATGGTTTGCTGCTGTGTTTAGTATGCGAACCCAGTCCAATCCAAATTGTCAAAAAAGCAAGCCAGACTTCTTCAGGCTTTTCCTGTTTCCATCTTTTTCTCTAACAAACGAACAGATCATTATTAACAAGTAGAAGATGAAGAATATGAGTGCGTGGAACATCAATTGCACATACCTCAGTGGATTGATTCGGAGGATCTTCACTCGTGATGCAACTGGATGTTTGAGCCTGAGTTGGCCTCATAGCAAGCGGACTAGAGCTGGCTTTAGCTGTTTCTGCTCCGATCGCTTCATAGGAGCTCTCCGTTATTGCAGTACCTGATTCTGAACGATTTAATATGGAGCAGCCCTGCAGGGAGCAACAAAATCCGGATGGATAGAGCGTTTATTACACATTTCTATAGCGGTAAATAGCGAATATCACTTGTTAGAATGCGCCCTTAGGCTCTCATGACTTAGCACTACTCATCAAGAGTGACACTTTTAAACTGTATACCGGAACTAGTATTCAAAATTAATGGTGAAACTCTCCTCCTAGTACAGTTATAAAGCGTAGAGCATGGTAGCACAGAGTCCTGTGAAGCTCAACATCTCGTATATGCACATACATGTGATTTGTGCTGAGTGTCGTATTAGTGCGAGCATGATAGTTGGACATTCCACATGCTCACGGCAGGTTTAGGACAATTACAGTGCGTCTCTGCAGGCCAAAGGAGCATGCCTGTCTCAATCCGTATTCGATTATTATCAAGAGAGAATAAATCCAATTGCTCCAGATGTCAGATGTCGCAGGCCCCTCAGTGTCCATGCACCACAGAAGAAGACCACAATCATGTATTGCAGGTATTTTAATTTCCATACACCATGAGAAAAGATCACAGCAATACTCACATGAGTGGATGCAGCATCCTCGAGACTGCCCTGGAATCCATCTTGTAGCCGATCCGGTTCGTTTACGACCGCACCATGCGCATTCTGACAATTTGATGGCCGCTGTGAAAGAATAAATATTTTGTCATAGAAGGAATCTTAACACGAGTCAACTGTGACATAGAATAAAGGGAATGTGGAAATCAACACCATGATGTTGAATCTGTGTCTCATAACGGTACAAGGACATGCAAGTGATCCTGAGAGAAAATGATGATATTGCCCCAGAACACAGTTTTATTATTCAGAACGCTTCATGACTTGGCACATGTTCAAAGAATTTGGGTACACTGCCTGTTTGTGACTTTACTCTCATGGAGTTGATGTTGCTGTTCATTTTGCTACTCTTTCTTTTTTCCCTCCCCTTATTTTTATTTATCGCCGTGGTTGGCAATCACCCACTCTCTTAACAGTGGCCAGTGTTTCCACCGAGTCTTGAGATGTTGTTATAAATACATACATAAAATAAATTTTTAAGAGGTGAGCATGTCATAGAACTTGCTCCAAATCTACGCACTCACATGAACATACACAGTACCACTTTCACGGTCCGGACGCGAAATGCGGTACTAGTGGCTGTGTATTTGTGACCTCGCAATGGGGCGGAAAATCCATGTATGGTTTTCTGGGTTTGCATTAAATTTTGTATTGCCTTTTCATCCATTGTGTTTCTTTTGCCCTGAAAAGAGGCTTGATTTCGGTTATTTTCAAAGCGACCACTAACCAGAACTCCGTGTGATCTGGATCTTTACGGGATGGACCCACTTCAAAGGGTACTCACTTTCAGTCTTTTATCACACTCAATATTACAATTATTTTATGTGCCCATCCAAAAAATTAATTCTTTCTCGTCTCGCATTTCATGAGTTCACTTAAATATGTCTATGACGTTTTCGTACCATTTGATCCACCGCAAGGTTATTCTGCAGTACCATAGGACCTGGGAACAAACGATAAGTGTCACAAACACTTAATTATGGAGATATTATATCCAGGAAGCAAGGTTAGAGATTTTCCTTCCGGATATCTCCGAAGCAAAAGTTAGCGAAGAGATGCGGAAGCAGGCCAAACCAAAATCTAACAACAGACTACCCGTGCAGTGTATATGAATGTTCAGAAAGTGAAGGCTAGTGTGGGCAGAACATTGTCGGCTGCATTTCGGGCTCTGCGCCCTGTTTGCTTCAGAGCTGCGGAAGATGGTAAGATCACCACAGCTCACCACTTCCCCCGAGACCACGGTACGATGTGGTGGGAGGAGTCGTCACGGCTTTGTTTTGTCTCCGTGCGGCCTCTTCAGGACGGCTAGTCTCTCTTTGCATCTCCACTAAACAGTCTCGTTTCTTCCTGTCTTTTCTTGCACGTAGGCATACCCATCCTTGACTAGTTTGGGTTTGCCTCGAAAAGTTAGGCCAGTAAAATCGGGATAACCTCCATGATTGAGTCACCAAGATAAAGGATTTCGCACCCAGAGCTTACAGTTTTTCACTGAATTTTGGCGAGGGGGCAGGCGGTGAAAATGTAACTTCGTCGAAATGTACTAGCCGAATGTGTTAGGCGGCGAAAAAATCAAGCTGTGAAACAGCCCAGTCGCGAAATGTCGTTCGATGAATTGACCACCTCGAAATGTCTTGCGACAAAATGTCACGCGACCAACTGACTGGGTACCATTAACAGCCGGGTCGAAACAGCCATCTGTCGCGAGATCGATCCCTTGTATCAGTTTTTGACAATTATTAATGTGGCTTAAAAAGGAAGCCATCACATTAGCCACTACCGAGACTTAATTATTACGAAGATGATGAAAATGTATATCCTCACCAGGTTTCAACATACACCAGTGCCCCCCCCCCCCCGCCGCCACCGACCACCCCCCCCCCCGCCGACCACCCCACCCCCGCTCACAAGTAAAGATTATACAATACATATGTTCATGATGCCTGAGCAAAAAATATATTAAGAACTTAGATGGTGAACCAGGGAGAAAAATATTTTGTAACATGGAAATTGTGGGCACAATTTGTTCGTTCCGTCATCATACCAGGCCAGCATTCCATGAAGCCTTGGAATGTAGGTTGTGCTCGACTGGGTGGCGCTCGCCTTCCCCTCTTTGGAATTAGCACTAATATCCATGAACCTTCCAAGTTGGAAGGCCGTTGGTTAGCGCTATCGAGGAGTGCTCAAGCTAACTTTCATGCTGTGGAACTTCTCAGCACTCCTTGTCAGTTTTGTGCTAGATTGTGCATGTCTGACTCTTCAAAAATCTGGTTTAGTTGGGGACTCGATCGCATAACTTGTGCCCACAATTTCCATGTTACAGGAAGAATAGTCCTACTAGACTACTACTACTCACCGTTTTGGGAACAAAGGTCAAGCTTTCTTTGTTGCAGTTTCTTGTATACAACGAGGATCACAATGGCTGAGATGACAGCAAGCAAGACGGCAACACCGGAGCCAATAGGTGTGGCGGAGTCCTGTTGCTCTTTGATAGGCCTGTCTAGAGTATGTTCAGTATTCCCAGTGGTTGGAATAACGTTTCTGCTAGACACAGGTGTTGTGCCTTTTGTCTCTCCCTGGTACACCAAGTTAGTCGTTGGTGCCGCTGTGCGGGATTGCAACATTGGTGTGGTTGGTGACGCTGAATAGGATGGCGATGCTTGTGTTGTGGTGGTACGCTGCGCGGAAGGTCTTGCAGTTTTAGGCGGTAGGTCTATTATTAGGGGAAAAGTGAAAAGATCAACACAATGTATGGAAGCCAGCTCGTGGGACAGGCTGTATCTTACTGTATTCAAAGTTCATGATAATATTATATAATGGCGGGCCAAACCAGTAATGACTCGACATTATGTGAGTATTTCACAACAGAACGTTGCCTGATGATTGCGTGAGCATGAAACTTAAAGTAGCAGCAAACAAGCCGTGATTGTCCTTGCTGTTCTGTTGTGTATTACGCTTTGTGGCTGTGAGTATTTCAAAATATTTAGACCTGACTGCGCTGACATATTCCGATACAACAAACATTTGCCATCTATTCTACTGGACGCTCCTCTCCTCTATAACACAATCAGCTCCAAGGTTGATAAATACCAGCCCTTTGGGGACAATGGAAATTTCTACAGTAATGCTTTGATTTAGTTCAGAATTAACTTGAATGATAGAATATTACCTCCACCACTTCACTGCACACCGTGTAATATTAATATATTATGGAATATTCTCCTTCAATGCTAACTCAACTGCTGTACAACATTATAATCTAGAGGCGTAGGAAGAGGTTTCAGCGAATAAAGTTACTTACTCAAGAACTCCTGGCACATATAGTAGTTCGATGTGTCACAATTATCTGCCTTATACTTATACACCCCGTCACTGTACTTGTACTTGGCGCAGAATTTTCCAAACGCCCATGTGACACTTGGGGCTCCTCCAGCAGAATGTTTCCAACTCCAAGTCAACAACCACGGACGCCTGCGTAGACCAACCCACACGGATGTGATCTGTGGAGAGGTGATCCCTTTTAACGCATTTATGAGGCAATCAGTTAGTGTTTTATTGACGGGTTCAGCAAGCCAGCCAGTCGTCGAGCAAGGATCACTGACACTATCCAAATTAACCTCGTTTAGTGAGACTCTCATTCTGGTTTTAGCAGGTGGTGCACACGTAGTCCAAGTTCCTGGAGTGCGAAAAAACAAATTATTACTGGTAAGACATTAAATTTTAGCGTTGCCTTCCACTGGATTTACTGATGTAGACAATACACTGCAATCAATTTTACAGTTTTTGGAGGTATAAAAACGGAGGAGACCTGTTGCATGGATGGTGTCTCCGTATACTATACAGCCACACCAAGTTGAAATGCGTATGCTATGAATGTAGGTACTAGATACAAGAAGATTTATTGTGCATCACTAGGTGGTTATATTTGGGACTCTAGATCCGAAATGGGGACTTATGTCGTTTGGCGCAGTATAAAAAAAATGCATTTGAAAGTTGAGTTTTCTGTATAAAGCGATATAGTTATAAATCACTAAAAATAAAAAAGCACCCATAACTCTGTGAAAGATAACGGTTTTGGACCTAGTTTTTTTACAGAGTCTCAGAGTGGCTTAGACCTTACTAACCACTGAATGTCCATACACACGCACAGAACGACAAAACTGTGTAGATGCAACATACTGTACTGCAAATAGGTAATGTTGATATTCCGATTCAATATATCAGGTATCCCAGCTTTTGCAATAGGGACAAAGAGGTAGCTTGAGAAGGACATTGTCCACTTCACTTCTTACTTCTATTATGAGAGAGCATACTCTTCTAAAGAGAGAGTGTGAGGACCGCAGTAGTAATGACCGCTACATGGGCCCACATTTAGAAAGGGTAAATCTGTAGGAGACCCACTACAGCTCAGTTTGTTAACTTTCACCCTATGTATGTCTGTTAGTATAATTATATATACCCAAAAAGGTAATGCGAAAGAAGGGGACGTATTTTACCCTCTAGTGGGAGGTGTAAATTGTCCTCTTTGTCTTTTTACAAAGACCACTTAAATGCCAAACATGAGATGTAGCTTGGGGAAGCACGCACAACCAAATTCGTCTGGTCCTCTCGACGACTGTAACAGCAGAGATAACACCATCGTATCAATCACAAAGAACGGGGTTGTAAAAAAAATCAGAGGCTACACACCTTTCTAGACTTCACTGAAAACTCAATCTGCGAAAAGAAATGTGTCGACCTTTGTGGACTCATCAACGCGGCACAGAGAAAATGAGGCCGAGTCTAATATCAATGGAAAATACAATTTCCAATAGCCAGATTTAGAGCAGACTTCAATGTATTCATGTGTTTACACGTATGTAGTGACTTGATTGAGTCACAACTGGATCAGCTGAGAATGGTACTTTCTGGCAGGCTTGCCTATTGAAAAGTCTGGTGCATTAAAATGTAGTGGGGTTGGGATAGAAGTTGAGTCAAGTCGAGTCTTCAAGCGCAAGTTTCCACTATGAGAGCAACAAGCATTCCTTGAAATATTGCCTTAGTTGCTTCCTCTAATCGAGACTATATTACACAAGTAATTATTAAGCGTACCATATTGCCGTGCTGCGATTGTAGAGGCTGTAGTTGAATTTGGAGAAGACGTTCCTTTGTTCCTGCCCAGCGACTCGGCTATTCCTATGAACACGATCGCGAATACCCAAAGGGTGATATTCATTTCCACATTGGACTGATTCAGTTCGGCAGTGCCCCGCCTCGACTTGAACGATAAAATCAATGAGTTTCTAGCAAGTGATCGTCCTGCCCACACCACGAAAACCTCACCGAGGCCAATGTGGACGTTAG